CCTCTCCCGACCAACCGCCTCCCCGTCGTCCCCCCCTCCACCGGGTCGGTCCCCCGACCCCCCCCAGGGTCCTCGCCTCCCCGGTCCACCCCCTACCCCCGTCCCCACACTGACGCTCCGGGAGCTCTTACGCTCTGGCAGGTGAAGGTGGTTCCTGAGGGTAGTTACTCAAGGGTGTTAGCGTTTTAGGGGCCCCTGAAGTCCATCCATGAGTCCAGGGCTTGTCCAAGGTGCGCACAGAGCAGCGGGTCCTCCCAGGCATCCTCTCCAGGTCTTGCCCGGGCTCAGTGGTCCCTGAGCCCCATACTCCTGCCAGCACCACTTGAATCACTCTTTCCGTTGATTTGAAAATTAGAAAAAAATATACGTATACATGAAGAAACCCGGACTCTGTACCCCCCCCCCGCCCCGTGTTCACAGAGCGCCCCGGGGATCCAGGAGCTGCTGGGCGTGGCCAAGCGGGACATCCCCTCCGGCCTCTGGCAGGCCACACCCCTGGTCCTCAGGGCCACAGCTGGGCTGCGTCTGCTGCCAGGAGAAAAGGCTCAGAAGCTGCTGCAGAAGGTGAGCTCGTCCGTTCCCGGGGCCTGGCGGGGGGCTGGTGCGTTTGAAGACGCAGGCCCCCCGCGAGGGGGACGAATGCCGGCCTTCGGTGGAGGGCCTGTCGCTGAACGTTGCTTTCCACCTCAGGGAGTTGAAAGTACTCGTGTTTTCTGGAATGAGTTTGTCTTCTAAGAAGAGCAAGTTTGTTTTAAGAATACGTTGCGGAGAGGGTATAGCTCAGTGCACGCGCGAGGCCCTGCGTTCAGTCCTTGGTGCTGCCGTTAAAAATGCGCATATAAGTAAATAAGCCTGGTTACCACTCCCAAAAACAATTGTGAAAAGGAAGCTATAAAAAAATGTGCTCTTGAAGGGCTTCCCGCCGTCCACGGACTCTCCGTGTGTCTGAACTCCCAGCGCGTCCTCTCGGCCCGCGGGTCCTGGGGTCGTGCCAGCCCCGCTCTTGGTCCGATGCTTGGACGCGCCGGTTCTGAACCTTCTTGCTGCTCAGTGACGGGTTGTTGTGCACGTCCACATCCCTTTTGACAACCACACCCACGTTCTCGAGCAGGTGCTGGGACACGGGGCAGACGTACCGAAGTTTCCGCATATCAGTGGTCGCTGAAAAAGCGGAGACGGGTGTGCAGCCAAATGCAGCTGCTCACTGCCTCCCCATCCCCCGCCACCGTCCCCCGGGAGCGTGCCCGCCAGGCCGCGTGGGCCCAGGCTGGAATCTGCCTTGCAGGGTTCCCGCCCCCTGTCTCCCATCCTAGAGCAGGGCAGCCTTGGGGTGCCCTGGTACCCCAGACCCCATCCAGGGCTTCAGCAGCACTGCCTCCGCCGGCCCAGGCTCCGTGAGTGTGGCAGGCACCCTACAGTGTCTCCTGCCTGGCGAGTAGTGGGACGGGCTGGGGGCTTCGGTCTGGAGGATAAAGTGCCTCTCTCTCCCTGCAGGTTAAAGAAGTGTTCGAGGCATCGCCGTTCCTCGTGGGCACCGACTGTGTTTCCATCATGAACGGCACGGACGAAGGTAGTGGCCATAGGCGGGCGCCCTGTGGGCTGCTGTGCGGGTCCCGGGGCCTTCCCCAGGCAGGCATGCTGACAACGAAGCAATGGTCCTGTCCCCGTCTCTGATTTATCGTCTCAGAGCCCGTCCTGGGGCCGGAGTTAGAGACAGCTGCCAACCTGGCCCAGATGAAACTTCTAGAACAAATCATTTTTCTGGTTTAAGAACATTTAAAGAGAACCCTCAGTTGCTGTCACGTCAGAATGTTGGTGCTGCAGTAATTCTAAGGGGCAGACGCTTGATAAGGTTCCTTACCAGCCTCTGACTTTAAGCATGCCCTCCCGAGTTGGCGAGTGTGGTGGAGGGCGTGGGGACATCTGCTTCTCTTCAGAAGAGAAGCAGTCGGTGAGGACCGGCGCCGGGTGCAGCGGGCAGAGCGCTCTGGGTCTCAGTGCGGGGCCTCCTCGGACCCCGCCCGGGCTGCAGGTGGCCTCGTGGCTAGCGCTCCTTCCGCAGCTGATCTGAAGGCTGCGAGGAGTGAGCAGGTGTGGCCTCGGGCTCCTAATGTCAGAGAGCTGGTTCCAGCGTCTCAAGTGGCTCAGGTGCGCTTGTGACCCTCTCTTGCAGGCGTTTCGGCCTGGATCACAGTCAACTTCCTCACAGGTGGGTCCTCTTCATCTTGAGTCCACAGTTCACTGACCCGGTGCTGAGAGCAGGGGCCCCATCTCCACTCTTTAAAGGGACCCCTCGGGGTCGCAGTGTCGCCGGCCCAAAGAATTAGGCTGTGGGGGTGAGTGGGGGTGTCCACTGGTGGCCCCGGGGCCCCAGGCCTGCAGATGCAAGTGCTGGGCGGGAGGGGCCTTCCCTGCAGGTGGGGGCGGCTCCCCCAGCCGCCTCCTGGGTTCCTGGGTTCCGAGGAAGCCCTGAGTGACGCTGCTCATGCCTCAGGTGCTGACCGTCCTGAGCACTGGTCAGCCTGTCGTCAAAGCCTCTGCTGGAGGTGGGGCAGCCTGTCCTGGAAACAGGTGCCAGGAGCACTTTTCCTTGTGTTGTTCTCAGGATGTGGACTTTTGTCCCCTTATTGCAATTATGGGCCAGACCAATGTGTCTGATTCACGGAAGAGAGAGGAAGTTTCTTGTAGGATTTGCCGCCTGGGGATGGAGGGCCATGTTAGGGGACAGGCCAGGAGAGCAGGCGGGGGCGTCCCCGAGGGGGGGGTCACATTGTCCTTGCATTCAGACTAAAGCCACCGCCGAGGCAGCTGTCCTTCGTGCCACAAACGCCCCTGGAGGTTTTAAGTGGCCTCAGCTTCTCCCCGTCTTGCCTGGCTTTCCACGGCGGGGTCTGACTTCCAGCCTCTCCGCGTTTCCTGCTGTCTTCGTGTTACTAACGGCATCGCTGTGGGTTTCCTCCTGTGCTGCAGGCGGTCTCAGAGCCCCCGGGAGGGGCAGCGTGGGCACGCTGGACCTGGGCGGAGGGTCCACTCAGATCACCTTCCTCCCGAGAGTCGAGGTAACCAGCCCCTGCTCTCAGCCCCTCCCCTGAGGACCAGGTCCACCCACAGTGCTGCTTGCTGTGATTTTAACTCTGCCTGGAGAAAAAGGAGAAATGTGGTCTTCAGCAGGGCGATAAGTTAGATGGTGCCTGGAGCCCTCTGGGCAGAGAGCGGGAGTGGGGCCCCCCGCCCCCCAGCCTGACTGCGGGCGAGAGCGGCCTCCTCTTCAGACAGACGTCCTGGGGGGACCGTGCTCCCGGTTAAGGCTGCGCTGTTCTGGAAAGTGCCTTCCTCAGCCGCCGTTTTAGTCGGTTGTTTTAGTTGTTAGTGGAAAACACTTAAATTTACTCCTGACTGTCTTGGCTGGGCCGCGTTTGTCAAAACGGGTAAATGCTACAAAGAGGAAAAACATGGTGTTTCCATTTTGGACAGTTCTTCTTTCATCACAGCAGTGATCTGAGGAAACACTCGTGTGACTGAGTATGTCTGTGGACATCCCTGTTCCTTCGAGTGAGTGGAGGGAGTGGGGGACAGCTTTCTAGAGAGGCCAGCAGGGAAGACGGTGACCCTCGCGTTCCTCCCCAGGGCACCCTCCAGACCTCCCCGCCCGGCTACCTGACGTCCCTGCAAATGTTCAACAGGACCTACAAGCTCTATTCCTACAGGTTTGTGTCCAGGGTGAGGGTGGAGAGGTTGACGGTCAGGCACACGGAGCAGCTTAGCACCGCGGCCTCGTCTCCAGCTCCTGCCTGTGGAGTGACGGAGCGGTCAGCCCAGACTCGGCGAGACCCTGCTGTGGGCCCTCCCCCTCCCCTCCCCTGCAGTAACATGTAACACGTGTGCTTGGCCTGTTCTGCTCTGGAAGAGGTTTTGAGAAAGTGGGGAGGAGCCCCTGGATCGAGCAGTTTTCTGGGCCGTGGGACGCCTCCTGTAGGGTCTTCCGTGTGGCGCATCCACACCGTGAAGGTGGGGGCCTGTCGCCCTGTCCAGTGTCCGTGGCTCCTGGACCAGCTCCCGCCTCATAGTAGCCTTCGCGTCTGTGCCGAGTGCCCTGAGCCCCACCAAAGAAGCTTCCAGAAGAAGCAGAAAACTGCTGTTTGCCGCTGGTTTCCTCCCTTCCGCTCCCCCCGTCCTGGACCCGGGCAGTTCGCGTGTCCCCTCACCGCGCTCTCTTCCCACAGCTACCTGGGCCTCGGCCTGATGTCGGCGCGGCTGGCGGTCCTGGGCGGCAAGGAGGGGAAGCCTGGTGAGTGGGCGCACCTCGTCAGGTCGTCGATGAGGAAAGAGGTGCCGGTGACGTCGGGGCTGTGTCACTGGGCTGGGACGTCCAGGGTCGGCTTGTTTTTAAGCCTTTACGGCAAGACAGCACGGGAGGGGCCCGAGGAGGGGTTCGTGGGGTCTCGGACGGGCTTGGCCTTCCAGATGGGCAGCCCCTTTGTTGCAAACCGAAAATGCATTCTCATCTCAGAAAACCAGCACCCTTGCTCTGAGCCAGAAAACACCTGCTGGCCAGCGGGAGGAAGGCAGGCACCCATTCACCACCCGCTCCAGCCTCGGGGTCCTGTGCCCCCTGCAGCCCCCCAGCCAGCCAAGCAGTGAGGGAGCCTCCCGCAGGCTGAGCGGTTGTCACTCAACAGATGCTTTATCGTCACGATTGTCATGAGTCGCAGGCTCCCCCTGGGGCCCCGTGGGGTGGCGTTTGGGGCACATCTGGCCTCCACCTGCACTTCTCCCGGCAGCTTAGAGGTGGGAGGGCTGCCTGAGGTTGCACAGCCTCCTGTCCCACACGTTCTGTCAGTGAAAGCAGACCCCGGCCAGGAACCCTCTTGGCAGGAGGCCGGCCACCACGTGTCCAGGGCTGGCAGTGGGCAGCGTGTCCTGGCTCTGCCTCGCTCATCCATAAAGTGAGGGACGCCAACTGCTCCTGTTAGGGTCGTGGTGACCGTCGCCTGGAACCCTGATGCCCCTCGGTGGCCATGAGCTGGGAGTGGCTTCGCTGGGGCCTCTGTGGTGGACGGAGGCTCTGCCTCCCACAGCCGACCTGGGTTGCGTCCACAAGCCAGGCCTGATGGGAAAGGGAAGCTGGTCCCCTGGCCCGAGGCCCGACACGCCCTCGCCCCACAGCGCCAGGTGCACTGTATCCTCCTCCTTCTCTGTTTCAGCTGAGGATGGAGAGGAGTTGGTCAGCCCTTGTCTGTCTCCGGGTTTCAGAGGAGAGTGGTCACACGCCGAGATAACCTACAGGGTCTCAGGACAGAAGGCAGGTACGCTGACCTTCCATGGGCGGCTGGTGCGCGTGCCCTCCCGACGCCTCTGAGAAGCAGGGCAGCCTCTAGCCTCCTCGCACACCAGCCTGCACTTGCCCACGAGGTGGACGAGGCTCTGGAGGCCCCAGCTCCCACAGGGTGTCCACACAAGGCCCCCTGGTCTGCCGCCAGGTGCCCCTGCAGAGGCCCGACGTCCTAACCGGCCTCCGAAAGGAAGGGCCTGGGTGGCCGTTGGCTCCGAGCAGACAGCAGGTCCGGCTGTGGGCCCAGCTGCCCTGCGAGCCCGCGTCCCAGGTGAGGGACAGATGGCCCCTCCCCGCCCCGCCTGCGCTCCTGGCGAGGACGCGGAGCTCCCTGCGGGGCTCCTGGCAGCCTGGCCCTCTCACCACGGCATCCCCTGTGCCCTGTGCTCTTTGAGTTTCTTCCAAAAGAGCTACTGCAGTGCTGTGTCTAGGCTGGCCCCGTGGGCGTGCGGGCGCCTGTGACAAGCAGCTTGTCCTCGCGGCCCCACAGACACCACACGTGCCGTGTCCCCGCACCAGCCAGTTCCCTGACACCCACGGGGTGTCCTGCAGCTCAGTCCAGTCCCCGCGCTGACACCAGGGGTCAGCGCAGACCCCACGGGTTAGGGCCCCCCAGACTCCCAGTTTTCTGACTGACGTGGCTGCGCACCTGGGGTTCCCACAACTCCCTCCTCAAATCGGACAGTTGCTGGAATGGCTCCTGGGACTCAGCAAAGCGCTTTACTACCGCTGGTTTCTGGTACAGGGCACCACTCGGGAGCAGCAAAGGGGAGACGCCCAGGGCAGGTGTGTGGGGCGGGCGCCCCTCCTGGCACCTCCACGCCTCTCCATCCGGGAAGCACTCAGGAGCCCACTGTTTAGGGTTTTCACAGAGGCTCGTTACAGAGGCGAGACTGATCCAGTCCTCGACCGCGAGGGACTGGCTCAGTCCCCAGCCCCCTCTCCTCCCGGGGGGTCAGCGAGGGGCTGAAAGTTCCAGCCTTCTCATCACCGGCTGGTTCCACCGACAACCAGCCCCCCTCTAGGGGCCCCCAGGAGTCACCTCGTAGCACAAGCCAGGCGGGGGTGAAGGGGCTCACTGTGGACGAGAGGGGACCCCTCGCCCTCAGCACTCGGGGTCACATGGGCTGAACGAGTCCATGCCAGGACCTGGATGAGAATGGATGCCTGTCCTTGTGATGTGATGAGACTGCAGGGGGTGGGGGCATCTGGGGCAACTGCCATTTTAAATGAGTCCGGGGGGGTCTCCTGCGGTGATTCTTGGGCGAGGAGATGGGGAGTGAGCCACACAGGTCGAAAGCCCAGGCTCAGGGGTCAGTGTGTGCAGAGGTCCTGTGGCAGCTGCTGTGTTCGGGGAGCGAGGAGCAGGTGTTGTGACCAGACAGGGAGAGCGGAGGGCAGGGAGGCTGAGGGCCGTGGTGCCGTGGGCCAGGGAGAGCTGGATGGGCAGCAGCCAGACGTGGGGCAGGCCCGTCGTGGCTGTGGGCCATCCTCATCTGTGAACTCAGGCCTGTGCTGTGGCCCGCCTTCCGAGCAGGGGGGCAGGGACCGCTCCTGCACGCTTCCTCACCAGTGAGGTGAGAGGAGGAGGTGCAGGACCCCCGGGGCTGATGAGACGCAGGGAGATGCTGCACACTGGGGCTTAGCATGGGGCGCAGCTCCAGGGCTGGGGCTGTGCTCTTTCCAGCCACCTCCATGCTCACGGTGTCCCCCCTCGACCTGGCATGGTTCATGGCCCCTAAGAGGTTGCAGGTGGGCCCCGCACGGGCTCCTGGTCCCGTCTCACCCCCAGGTCAGGGTCACCCCAGGCTGTGTGGCCAGGTGCCCAGAGCCCCGACCACTGAATGTGCCCTCCCTCCGCCTGACCAGCGGGGAACCTCTATCAGCTGTGTGCCGCCCGAGTGTCCGAAATCCTTCGAGACAAAGTGCACAGGACGGAGGAAGCGAAGGACGTGGACTTCTATGCCTTTTCCTACTATTACGATCTCGCAGCAAACGTCGGCCTCATAGGTAGGGGCGGGGCCAGGTGGGTGCCCTGGGCCTGTGGCGGGGCTGGGGGCGAGCCATCAGCGGTCAGGTGGCAGGGGCAGAGGGAGGGCCGTGTGTCACGGAGGGAGAGTGACTGGCCGCCTTTGGTGAGCGAGCCACTCGCTGTCGGCTCCTCCCCCGCGTCAGCCGCCGCCACCTCAGCCTGGGGCTCTGGCACCCAGGCGGGAGGGAGGGGCCTGGCCTCTCAGGAGCCAGTGGGTTTCACTCCAGCTGCCCCCCAGCCTGTGAGCGCTGCGGGGCAGAAGGTGGTATTTGGAGCCCTGGGGCTGGGGGTCGGCAGACCATCACTTCAATGGGTGGTGACTGGGAGTGGTTTTTGGTGAAACGGATTGACGAGAGGGTAGCACATGCCCGGCAGGGATGAGAATGCCAGTGTCCATAGGACGCCACCCAGGAGAACCGGCCAAGTCTGGCCCCCTGGGGCCCCGTGTGGACGGCTGCTGGCAGGGGAGGCTGGTCCGGGTGGAAGGTGACCTCTCACCCCTCGCCCCAGCGGCTGCCCGGCCTGCACCCTCGTCTGCACTCTCCAGACGGTGCCCAGCTGTGGCGGGGCTGGCCTTGCGGGGCCCCTTCCTGGGACGATCTCATCTTCCCGGGGCGCCCTCAGGGATGCCAGGCTGTTCTGGAAAGTTCTGCTCACTCCCTTTGTGGCCGCACCTGGCTCCGCAAGGCCGGCCTGGTCTGGTTTTAGAAATGGAACCACCCTAAGGTGACATTTGCTGACTTAGCAAACGCCTGAGGGGGGAAGTAGACCTCCTCATCACGCCGCCTTCCACAGACCTAGGGTCCAGGGCAGAGGCTCAGGGGCTCCTTGAAGATGCCAGCTGCCGTCGGGAGAGGCGGACGGGGCTCCTCACGCGCCGGCCTGGGAGTGGCATGGGCCCGCCGCCCACCCCGAGGCCTTGTTCTCTCCCAGGGCTTCTTTCTCCCCTGGAGTGTGACTCAGGTCAGCGCTGCCGCGCACAGGCCACGGCTTCAGGAGATGTTTCCAGTTTCCTTCCCTTGAGGTTGAGAGCTTGCTCTGTCTGGGGCCCAGGGCCCTGCCGAGCTCCCTCTGAGGCCCCGGCCGTGCTGCCCGCCCCGTGTGGCCCACCGCAAGTGCGTCACCTCCGACGCCCAGATGTATAGCCGCCCCAGGGCCTCAGTGCCGTCGTGGCTCTCGGTGCTGGTGCCGACTGGGCGCTTGGTCTTGTCCACAGACGCAGAGAAGGGGGGCAGCCTGGTCGTCGCAGATTTTGAGATTGCAGCCAAGTACGGTGAGTGGCCTGGAGGCCAGACGCTGTCCCAGGCACGAGGCAGGCACTGGCCCCAGAATTCCTGGTTGGTTCTGATTGTGTCACCCAGACGAGCCTTCGTGGGCATGAGAGTGGACAGGGGCCGCTGCTGGCCCGGGCTGCAGGGCCGCGCGCCCGGGGCGGCCTGGG